CACACATATTTTATAGGGGCCGAATCCATGCATTGTTTCATGAAAGGTTGCCTTTATCCATACGAAATGTTGCCTTTATCCATATGAAAGGTTGTCTCCATCCATATGAAAGGTTGTCCTTATCCATATGAAGGGTTGCCTTTATCCTTAAGGTTATCCTTATCCATAAAATAATGCAACCGCCACTAGGCCAAAGGGATGTGTCCCTTCACGGAATTAGAATATCGGTTTGGTCGGCCTAATCCCAAACCGGTTGGTTAGTCCAACCCAAAACTGGTTTGACTTGGTTAGTCCGGTTCAACCAAATTTCCAACATTCCTCCCCTATTTTAGTGTATTATTAGAATTCACTAAAATCACAACATTCTTCCAACAAAACTTAAGCATAAATGAAAATGTCGTGACGATTGAATTTTCACCTTAGTATATTACACTTAACGAATACTCGAATACAAAGGGTGTTGGTAACGATTGAACCCATTGACTCATATGAATATTCGAAGATAATATACACTTAAGTTTTCAAAACTTCTAAGTGCCTTGACACTATTATCCGCCATGTGTGCAATCCTTCTCATAAGCGCACACGAAACCAAAGTCCGGGTTTCTTGAAGCGGCTACACTTCATGCTTACGTAAGTTGAATCTCTATTCGTGTAACCGCATAATAAACTTTTTCAAAGATTCAATTAAGAAGTTTTAAACTTCATCCTCTTCTCTCTACACTTCACTTGACTATATGCCTTAGCCAAATTAGCATTACTATCACAAAAGATAGTAATAGGTGAGATTGGTTTAGGCCATAAATATATGTCATAAACCAAACCTCTCAACAATTATGTCTCTTCTCTAAGAGAAATCAAGGTCACACAAACTTTGATTCCATAGTAAAACTTAGTGATGCAAGTTTGCTTTCTAGAGGCCCAAATTATGGCACCTCTCCCAAGCAAGAGGACTCATCTCAATGTTGAAGTATCACCTTTAACTTGAGAAATCCAACTAACATCAACAAATCCTTTCCAAAATTGATGGAAAGCCACTATAAGTCAATACAGTGTGCCTTTGACATATCCTAGTACACGCCTCATTTCATTTCAAATGATGAGAACTACGATTCATCACGTACCAACTTAATTGTTCTATCGCATATGCGATATCTAGCATCATGTAAGTCATGCATACATCTCCAGTTGTAAAACTGATTTCCAGTATTAACCATAAGTTCCATACTTGGATTCATTAGGGTCTTTAACTCACTACAATTCCTACTATGGAATTTATGCAAGTACCTTCTCATGCAGAAAAATTGAGAGAATGACTCTTCTTTGTCGTTCTGCTTGATTCAATACACAGAATCACATTTGCCTACCCCATGTCCTACATGGAGAATTGAAATCTTATCAAAGTTCACTTATCTTTTATTGGTTCCAAAGATAAGCATATCTTATACATACAAATATACGATGACTTCATTACCAGAATCATCAAAAATTGTGTACACATTTTGTCTCTTTGGTTTAAAATAACATAAACCACTTGACAAAATCACTTATCTTTGATTGGTCCCAAAGATAAATATGTCATCTACATACAAACACAACGACTCTATTACCAAAATCATCAAACATTGTATATACAATTTGTCTCCTTGGTTTAAAATAACATAAACCACTAGACAAAATCACACCACCAAACCATTAGACAAATCCAAGTTTATCTAGAACTTCGTAAATGTCGAATAGATAATTAGACTAATTAACCATTGAGTATGTGACCTAACCAAAGGCAATTTTCATTCTTCTATTTCTCCATTTTATGAATTATTCTCCTTCTTCCTCATCTTCGAATCATCCCTCTTCCAAGTTACCTACCGGATATGGAATACACCATGAGACAAGTACGAAGAAAACCCATCTTCTACTGCCATCGATGAAAAATCCTTCATCGAACATTCTCATAATTCCATAGACTGAAACCGGTTTCTTGTAAAGAGCGGTTCGAGCCATCGTACCGGAAAACTATTCTTTTCGATTGTTGGGACTTATTGGGGCGATGGTACATGTACAATAGCCCGATACTGGGTGACCAGGATTGTGATAGAGTCGTGAACAACGTTCACTTTCCTAAAAGAATATTTCCACCCTCTACAAAGCCTTGGGTTACAGGAAATTTCTCCCGAGGGTAAAACTATCACCACTTTAGGTTCCAGGCTCAAGAACACTAAAGTATACTTAGAAATTTTTGGAAGAAAGAAGAAGAATATGTTTGATGGTGTGTGGCATCATGCACCCCACACACATATTTATAGGGGCCGAATCCATGCATTGTTTCATGAAAGGTTGCCTTTATCTATACGAAAGGTTGCCTTTTATCCATATGAAAGGTTGTCTCCATCCATATGAAAGATTGTCCTTATCCATATGAAGGGTTGCCTTTATCCTTAAGGTTATCCTTATCCATAAAATAATGCAACCGCCACTAGGCCAAAAGGGATGTGTCCCTTCACGGAATTAGAATATCGGTTCGGTCAGTCTAATCCCAAACCGGTTGGTCGGTCCAACTCCAAACCGATTTGACTTGGTTAGTCCGGTTCAACCAAATTTCCAACAATTCCATGGCTAGCAGGCATTCATGTCATGGAATGATTTGGGATTGTTTATGCCGGTCTTCTATAAAAAGTAAGTCTAATTATTGCCTACCTTAGGTTATTGTGGGTTCACGGTAATATTTCTTGATGTTGCCTCTTGGTTGCTTTTTGCTTCATGAACTTGTGACCATTCACTGAGCCGGAATCACTAACTAAGACTAATCGAATACTAATAGAATAGAAAAGAACTGTCTTTTCTCTATACTTTTCCCGGTTCCGTTCTTACCGCGTGCTTTACGCAATCGATTGGATCATATAGATATCCCTTCAACACAACATAGGTCATCGAAAGGATCTCGGAGACCCACCAAAGCACGAAAGCCAGGATCTTTCAGAAAATGGATTCCTATTCGAAGAGTGCATAACCGCATGGATAAGCTCACACTAACCCGTCAATTTGGGATCCAATTCAGGATTTTGCTTGGGAGGAAGGAATTGGAATGTAATAATATCGATTCATACAGATATAGAAGAAAAGGTTCTCTATTGATTCAAACGCTGTACCTATAGGAAGGGATAGCGAAAGAGGAAAAAACCGAAGATTTCACATAGTACTTTTGATCTAAAAATAAATCTGATTTCTTTCGTACCCTTCGCTCAATGAGAAAATGGGCCAGATTCTACAGGATCAAACCTATGGGACTTAAGGAATAACGGAAGGGAATAAAAATAAAAAAAGAAATAAAAAAATGAAGTAGAAGAGCCCAGATTCTAAATGAACAAATTCAAACTTGAAAAAAATCTTTCTGATTCTCGAAGAATGGGCAAAGGGATTGATCGAGAAAGATCTCTTGTTCTTATTATAAGATCGTGATTGGATCGGCATATGTTTGGTAAAAAGAAGAATCTTCCCCTTTGAGAATAATCAAAAAAGGAAAGTCTTCAATTGGAACATGAAAACGTGACTGAATTTGTCCTAGTTACTCTTCGGGACGGAGGAGCTTCTCGAACGAGGAAAAGGATCCAATGACTTCGAAAGAATTGAACGAGGAGCCGTATGAGGTGAAAATCTCATGTACGGTTCTGTAGAGTGGCAGTAAGGGTGACCTATCTGTCAACTTTTCCACTATCACCCCCAAAAAACCAAACTCTGCCTTACGTAAAGTTGCCAGAGTACGATTAACCTCTACGCAGTGACATAGTTCAACCTGTCATTCCTCAGCGACTGATTCGAAGAGCCGGTCGTAGATCACTTTCGAAGGTGAGCAGAGCAGCTCTTTCCTTGAGTTATTGGAGTAGTTAGGTGGGGAAGCTACCGCAACTAAAATAAAATGAATGAAAGAAGCCCCGGGGATTCTATGGGAAATTGAAAACGTCGAAGTAAGCTGTGGCTTATAAATAGGAAGATGACGAGAAAGCTGCAAGTACAAACTGATTCCACGGCAGTGCTGCAACTCATCAACTGGCAAAAGCGAAAGACCCCCTAACGTAATTCGAATGGGGTCTGACCGCTGAGCCCACTCTGGCCTCGCAGGGCGGGCCCAATTACTCATTCTTAAAAACGATAAAAAAAATTTACCTAAGTAGAGTTACAAAACGATAAAAAAATTTTATCTTCGAAACCCATATGAAGCGCATGGATACAAGTTATGCCTTGAAATGAAAGAGAATTCCGAATCAGCTTTGTCTACGAACAAGGAAGCTATAAGTAATACAACTAAGAATCTCATGGAGGCCACCTTGCCACATGCTTTTCCGGCTCTCTTGGACAGTAAATGGAAGGCAGCGAACACGGTGGGCTAGGGTGAATATTGCCCGTTCGCTCCCCATGCTTTCGCACCCCAGCGTCGGTAGGGACCCAGAGAGCTGCCTTCGCTTTTGGCGTTCCTTCGTAGATCTCCGGATTTCACCCCTACACACGAAATTCCACTCTCCTCTGTCTCAAGCTTGAAACAGGTTGAGGGATTCTCTAATGCTCCAGCGAGTATGATTCCTGACTGTTGGCTGTGATCGAAACATCTGTATTACCACGATGCCTTTTCAAGGAGGACTTGCTTCCACCCCCCGTTTGCATCCACTTATTGCACGTATCAAATACTTCCTCCCGGCTAGAATTGTTGAAAAAATCCGGGGTTATAGCCGTCCGGGCCAGGTGCCTTATCCGGGCTCATAGCAAACACCGCCTGTCGAAATTCTTCCGAGAGCCGAGAAGTAAGCGTTGTCATCTTGTGTTACCACTTGCGTCACCGCGTTTACCACCGGCTCATAGTCACAATTCCCAGCCTCTCCCTATCGGTCGAGCTACTTCGTTCCTTCGCCCTTCGGGCTCATAATAAACCTTCGGTCGAGCATATTCTAAACCTTCGGGCTCACTACTTCGTTCCTTCGCCCTTCGGTTCCGGGAGAGTTCTATACCCCGAGGTTCTGTCTTAGGTTCGAGTCGGGAGGGAAGAGAGCAGTGGCTTATTCGGCTCACATATTCCCCTCCTCTCCTTTCAGTCGAGCAACTTCGTTCTTTCGCCACTTGAGCCGTATGCGGGGGAACTCGCACGTGCGGTTCTTAGGGGGGGAGAGCTAGTAGGAGCCATCCTATCCCAATAGCGTATATTTGGAGCTCAATATGAAATCCTATTTTCTTGCAAGACCCGTGCGAAGATGCCGTTATAGTACCGAAAAAGTGTATTTTTACCTGCTTGTGAGGACCCCAAAGCATAGTGACCAGCCTGATAGATGGAATGCTTTCATCTTTTCGACCAGGTTTCCGTTTTTCACTGACAATGTGGCAATCGATCTCTATATGTTTAGTTTGCTCATGACGGATTTGCCTAAACAAAATAAAAGACTGCTTGCTCGTTCCGCGCCGAGGCTTTGTGCTTGTGGGCTAGGGTGAATATTGCAGACCAGCGGATCTGGTAGTCGACAATCGTTCGGACTTGGTAAAGGTTGTCGCGGCACCTGTAGTAGGACAGAGGACTTATCGCGATGCCCGCGTCCTGGGCGACCCAAACTCTAGATGAAACAGTCGAACCAACTCATGCATAAAATCTTGCATTTCTTCTTTACGCCGACCCGGCCCGTATCCTTGGGTACGTAGTACTTTTTGTCCACGGACGTGGCGGAGGAATAAGAAGATAGACACTGTTGTCTGTCAGCATCTCTCTCATAATGTAGAGTGTATCATGAGTCCATGCAATGCGTAAAAAGAAAACGAGCAACAAGTCAGGCATGAAAGCCAAGTGAAGTGACCAGAGGGTTAGGGTGCGGTGCCAATTCTCCAGTCCCCTTCGTACCATTGTTCTCCTTGATCGTGGAGCTGAATTCGGTTTTTTTGGTGTTCTCGTTGAAACACGCGGGCATACTCCTTGCTTCTGGGGACATTGATCCAAAGCTCGAGTACAGTCCGTGCGCCGTTTTTCTTCTCCTTTCAATCAAGCGATAGAGGCAGAGGCTTTACTTCAATCGCCTACGCTAGGACAGAGCTGCTGTCGAGTGACGATTGGCCGAGGGGGGTGCCATCATGTAGCATGCTTAGCCTTTATGGCAAGTAATCCATCCCGCCATTCTTTATTGCGCACTTCGGTGTGAATAAGAATCAGAGCAATCTCTAGTTTTAGAGTCTCGGCATCAATCCCAGTCCTTTAGGGAAAGCCTTCAAGCTCAACCCCAAAAGCCTCTACTCCCCAAAAAAGACGTGGAACTGAGTTCCGCTAACAGCTTCTTGCTAACAAAGCTGTCCAATTAAATGAATGTGTTTACGTCCTCTCTTCTTAGTCTATGCAATGTATCTCTTCGAGCACTATGCGGATTCAATGAAACAGAGCTCTTACTGAAGAATTCCAGCCTTCCCGGGGATTACGTCAGGGATGCCCGCTCTCTCCTTACCTCTTCACTTTGTGTATGGAGCGATCAAGCTCATTGAATCTGCCGCGGCACATCACCCTCACTATATCACAGTAAGGGATATCAAGAATCTCATGTCTTGAGATTGGGAGGTAGCCATCAAGCATGTCTATAGAAAAGGCAATGTTGTCGCCGACTATAACGCGTCGTTAGGTCATGGACAACCTCCGGGTATCCAAATTATCGAGTGTATGGATCGGCCGAATCCTGGAGAAATCCCCTTTGGGAGGTTGCCCAATCATGTCAGTGCCCGACTGACGGCATGCGAAGTAAGTGGAGTGCGAGACTGTTGCCCGCCGTCAGGCTTGCAAATGGCGCGAGATGATAAAGAGAGAGCTTCGTCTAGCGATGAAAAGCGGATTGACGGAGCTCTTGGCATTGCATTACTCTTCGCAGATAATGATTGTGTCAGGGAAACAACCGGAACCCCTGAACCTCGATCTACGAGTGGGAACAAAGAGTTTAATCGGCGATCCACCAGTCAGGCGTCGACTTGACACCAATCGCCAGCACGCCCGGTCGAGTGGCGTCTTTTACGGGATCTTCTCTTTGCCGGCATTCTTTTTCTTCTCTTACCAGACAGCCCTTCTTTCATTTCTAATACCATAAGGAATTACTAGACAAAATGAGTGGAAGCGAAGTGGCTACGGCGCCAAGCTAGTCGCTACACTCTCATCAACTCACAGCTGACAAAAAATACCTGTGTTCACAGGCAAGGCACGAGAGAAGGGGCACGAACTCACAAGAAAGCAACTCCATAGAATGGAAACTAGTCTGTCTAGCCCACTATCGAAAGGAACCTAACCTATGTCGTAAATAGAAGACAAGACTCAAACAGGAACAGAACCATGGAAGGAGAAAGACCCCCCCGTCCTTAGCCACCAGTTTCAGATGGATAGCAAATCAGGGCAATCAATCCCCGGTCAAAGGGCTTGATGGGAAATCGAATAGATTTATTCTGGACTGATTCGGAGGATAGTAAATCTGGACTTGTATCGTATAATAAGTCCGCTGCTACCGGGCATTGAATTGGCCGAAGTGGACCAAGTTCGGGTGCTTTTGTCGCCGAAGAAGCTCTTACATCGGATAAAGCGTAATTCCAATGTCTTTTCAAGAATGGCATGTTTACGAGGTAAGGCACAGAGGAAGGCAGGTGGGGGTATATACATATATTGTCACCCTATAAGAGAAAGATGATCTACCTACTTCCCATCGTGAATGGAAGCTCTGCACCTAAGGAAGGCTGGTTACAGCTATACTGAAACGTCTCTTATCACTTTTATCCTATAAAGAGACTATCCCAGGAACCTAAGGGGCGTAGCGAGCAATCAAAGCTAATCTCATACCTCATGGTCTACTAAAAAAAGGAACAGTAGCTTGGTATTGGTTCGAATCCAATACATGAGTAGTTGGCGTTATCAGCCCAACCCTCTGAAAATCCTCATAGGCCCGTCCAACTTTACAATGAGTAATGACTATGAAAAATCTAGTCGCCGAGAAAACGATCTCTACTCAATATTGATACTTAGAGTTGGTACCGAGGTAAGGCCCAGAGGAAGGCTGGTGCTAAAAGCTATACTGACAGTACACATACTGACAGAAGCGAGTAAAGCAATTAACGACATCAAAAATATACCTAATAACCAAAAAGGTAACCCCTTGAGAAAACAAAAACAAAAACACATGACTACTTCTAGAATACTGTGCATCCACAGAAAGATAGAGTATAATATATATCAGTCTCGAACAACTTTATATCCAGTAAATCTAATATCTCAGGCACGTATGGCATCAACAAACAATGAGAAAAATAAAAAACAAGAAATGAAAGATATGAAACACGAAATACAGAACCAAAAGATGAAGATGAAGAACGAACAGGAGAAGGAGATCAAGAACGAAAAGCTTAAGATTCAGAACAAAAAGGTAAACGAACAGGGCGGGAAAGAGAACGAACAGGGCGGGAAAGAAAACGAGATGAAGAACGAGATGGAGATGGAGAGAAAGAACGAAAAGCAGATGGAGAGAAAGAACGAGATGGTCGGTAAAGAGTTTGGAGATGTACCACCTTTGGATAAGATGAATAGTTCTGATTCGATAAAAGAACCATCTTATGTTAAAAGATTGTTAGGTAAGTTTAGAGATTTACTTCATACAGATTCTAGAAACCGAGCTCAATTGGTAAAGCAACCACTGAATTCTTCTATATTGAATAAAATCCGAGAACCAGATAATATAGGCGAATTGCCACCGTCATCGTTTATACGGTAACTGTTGATGGGATGATGGGGCGTGCCTTTGACAATCTCATTCGAGATATTGCCGTTGCAAGAGAGGAGCAAATGCCCATGAGAATTTTGAATTTGTTTTGGCAAAGACGCAAGAGAGAGATAGGAAAGCGATAATAGATCGATATCCAACAGACGATAAGGCAAGAAATAAAGACTTAGCTAAGTTAGCAGGTGAGGAAAAGGATGCACGGGACTATTTTTACCGTTTAACCCGAGGGAAAGCTCGGGGAGAAAATTCCATGATAATTAAAAAAATTCAAATTTGTGTAAAAGTCAAGGGAGAATGCCGCTAATAAGAAGACTAAGACCAAATCAAAGAACTGAAGACGTTCCCAATACCGACAGCAGCTCCCGCTGAAGCAATTATAGCAGCTCCGGCACCCATTCATTTTGGTTGCCTTATGAGTTATAACATCCTACAATCGTACCGATGTCTACTAAAACCTACGGGCGGGTGCTCCGCAACAGCAGCAGATCAAGTCAAAGCTGGCAATCCTCCACCTAACAACTCCTCCTTTACAGTAGTTGCTGTTAATAGGCTCTAATAGACAACCAACCCCATCTATTCTGGATAACCCGGGGCACCTTCCTTCCCTATGTGTCAGTGCCATTTTTCTCTAAGGCTTGAAGTGAATCAGTCATAGCTTGTTGCCAGCGACCCGCGGCAACAGTGGACTATTAAGGATCGCATCCCGCGCATATTCTACATTATAGCCTGCAACTGATTCAGCTTCCGCTTCTGGGAGATCAAACGGAGCTCGATTAGTTTCTGCTTGACAAGAAATGAGGAACAAGCATATCTATCTTACTTCGGTGAGGCCATTGGGAAGCGGGTCGCTATTCGTTTCGATTGGAGCGAGGTTGTCCTTAGCAAGAATGGATGGTAGGAACCTAGCCCCTGGGCAAGAACCTATATGAGACTATTCGAATGAGGGCTTTTCTTTAAGGTAAGGGGGTGTCTGAAGCGATTCCTTTTAGACTCTTTTTTTTTTTACGAATTTACTCTGGTGATGGATCGGGGCAATTCATACGTAGGAAATTCTCCAACCAAAGGGTTGTTTTTCAAGCTGAGGGAAGGTTTGTTTGGGCTTACCGGCTCTTACCTCAGGTTTTGCTTTCTTGCCCGCTACGACTAGCTTGCTTGAATGGAATGACTGCCGAAGCCACTGACGGCGATTGGCTTGCCAGCTGAGCTCAAAATCGCAGTCGACTATGGCAGGGCAGTACGCTTCCTAGTTACCTAATTCCTTCAAACAAGGCGAAATCCGTTCACGGTCCGTAGGACCAACACCATTCTAAAGTGGGTGGCCCGCCCCGCCTAGAGAAGAAAGAGCCGGTTGGCAAGTCAAGTAGTACTATCGCTTATAGCTTTGGTTCAGGCATCCATCCCAGTCTCCATCTTGAAAGACCTTATTCGGATTGACTCGGTCAGGAGAAAAGTCTGATGGATTTCTCTTGCCTGGATTAGGATAATGCTTGAAAACTGTCTTGCCCATTTGATCAAGACCTGCTTTGGGAATACTACTGCAAGTAAACTACCTCGCTGAACTAGCTTTAGACTAGGCAATAGAGTGTTCAGGAGAGATTGATCCCCGCTTGAATCACTGAGAACAAACTTTCTACGATCCTTTAAGGCTCGGGTCAGTTGCAAATGCTAGTCATTCGCTCTTCCGACAAGAGCTCAAGGGCTTTTCTTATACGCCTACCTATATTTAGTATATTAGTAGTAGGTGGCTTCCACTTTCGATGTAGCTCATATGATTAAGTGACCGCACTCCCACTCCACTTTGCCTTCGTCCAAAAGACCTCTCGGAGGAAGAACTTGAATCCTTCCATTATCCACAACAGGTTCAACAAGGGTATTGAGGCCAAGAAGATAAAATGAATGAGCATCCATGGAAGCCCTAGAGGAGGAAAAAGAATACCCGCATAGCTGGAGCTCTTAGGACGAGCAGAAAAATCCTATGGAAGGGTTTCCTATAACTCGTTTTCTCCCAAAGATCGTGCCTTTCTTGCCAGTGTTCATGCGGGAACCTCAAACCTTTTCGGAAGCCGCGGGTCGCTGGCAACAAGCTATGACTGATTCACTTCAAGCCTTAGAGAAAAATGGCACTGACACATAGGGAAGGAAGGTGCCCCGGGTTATCCAGAATAGATGGGGTTGGTTGTCTATTAGAGCCTATTAACAGCAACTACTGTAAAGGAGGAGTTGTTAGGTGGAGGATTGCCAGCTTTGACTTGATCTGCTGCTGTTGCGGAGCACCCGCCGCTGGGTAAGTTGGGAAGTCCTTGATAAGGCAGGGGGAGTCGAGTCGATAAGCCCCTCTTGTTTAGGTTGTTCCTATTACTTCGGTATGTCCTACCGCAGCAGGTAGGGAGAAGGGCGAAGGGAGAGGAATGGGTTTCGGACGATAGTGCGAAGACTGAAGACTCCATTCAGAACAGTTATTTTGAATAGGTGCGTGCTGATTCAAAGTACGAATGAATCCTTTTTGTGATAATAAGGGACTCCCATTTGCCGTCTCATAGTTAAGGTTCCTGCGATAGCCGAGCAGCAAGAGGCACACCAGCTCCGGTATCGCTTTATTTTTTGCCTTCTTCTGGCTGATCTCAAGTCCCCAAGCATGAAGAAGTTCACGAGACGGATCTAAAAATAAGGCTTTTCAAAGACGTGAACCTGCCTCCTTCTAACCTGAGAACCCCTGCCCCTCTACTTTCGCTGTGGTGGCATCAAAATAGGGAACTTCCTTTATCCGGCAATTCCGGATGCTTAAAAAAAAAGACCTCTTCTATAGCAAGTTGAGATGGGTCGATCACTCGCGAATGATCTGAAAGAATAGATGGATCCATTGAAGAATGATCAAAGACATATTGAGAAGGTTCTCAAGATTGATCTGGCCAAAGCGTATGACCGCATCAAATGGAGTTTCGTTCGGGATACGCTGCAAGCGGCGGGGACGCCTACAGCATTCATAGAGCTCGCCATGCAATGCATATCCTCTGCCAAAATGTGTATTCAATGGAACGGAGGTCTAACGGAGGACTTCAACCCTTCGAGAGGCCTTCGACAGGGGTGCCCACTATCCCCATATCTTTTCACCCTCTGTATGGAAAGACTCGGGCATCTGATCAAGGAAGCAGTGGAGGTAGGATCTTGGAAGCCCATACGTTTGTCAAGACATGGTCCTAAGTTGTCGCACTTATTCTTTGCCGACGACCTCATCCTGAGTCAGAGGATGAACTCGTTACTCGAACATTCAAAACAAATGAATCTGCTTTAGCAGAAATCTCAGTATCAGTATCATCTGGACTGGATCGGTTTTTCCAACTATGCACTTATTTGTCTTTATCATTCGGAAGTATCAGTCCCACACTCTGACTTCAATGATGGAAACAACTTCAGCACTCCGGCGCTCCAATGAACAACAGTTCTCCGCCTTACTCTATTTAGAATAGTAGTAGATCCCTCGGGAATTACTCTTTGTTCCCACTCGTAGATCGAGGTTCAGGGGTTCCGGTTGTTTCCCTGACACAATCATTATCCGCGAAGAGAACTTGGACACAAAGACTGAGTCTACCGGTCTCCAACGCTTTACTTGAGTAAAGAATGTGATCGGACCTAAGACCTTGCGAACAAGATCAGACTGAGAAAACTAACTCTCCTACCTTCTTGGCGTTCACGCTACTTGTCGTTAGAAAGTCTGCCTAACTTGTTGTTTGCCTACCTTTCATTTACCAGCTATTAGTCGTTTGCCTATTGTAGTGAAGGCCCTGTCGCCTTCGAAGGTGGAGCCCGCAGCCAACTTAAAGTAAGGAGAGATTCACTATCTTCCGAATCACAATCGGATAAAGAAACCTCATCAATATACTCGATAGAAAGAGTGTGAGAGGATCTCTCTTTGGCAACAATACAATCACCCTTTAATTCTCCCTCTCCTCCTATCTTGAGAACTTTAAGACATCCTTTGGGGAGACCATAGCGAACCTCTTCGGCGGACCAAAAGACGTAAAGAACGCGGGGCGTGAAGTGCAATTAGATCCATTTTGAAGACGAGCTTCAGGCAGAATGGAATGGAGGGTTCCTTCCTGCCCGGTTGTGGTCCGACATGTTGATGAGCCTGAAGCAAACACCATGCTGATCTTTGCTTGGGCCGGCTCCGAGGTACGAAGTCACTCGACTGAGTTGGAGAGGTAGGCTTAGAACGACAATTCAACGAACGTTTACCAAGTAGAAGCGACATTAGAATTACACTAACGACAAGTGTTAGGACCGTAGACAGACGAACTAACAACAAGTGTCGGTACGTACGGCATTAGTTTATTCCACTAACGCCAAGAAGTTTATCACGACAAGTAGCGGTAGGCAAACGACTAATAGCTGGTAAATGAAAGGTAGGCAAACAACAAGTTAGGCAGACTCTCTCCCGCGGCAAGGTTTTACACATAGGGCCAGCTGCTTTGCTTTCTTTATCTCGCTTGCCGTTAGTCCGTCTAGCGCCTTTCGGTTGGGGTCCGCCCCGGGGGTTAGACCGCTTGGGTTATTTTTTCGAGTATCGAAGGCAGTCAACGTGTCAGCCATTCTTCTCCTATTAGACTTGTAAATCCTTTGCTCTTTTTCCTTCTCTCTTCCAGTTCTCTCCCTATAACTTTATTTGACAGGGGCGGAGCACTCTATCAATAACAAGAATAAAAGTAGCAATTCAGTTTCAAATGGTTTGAGCTTGGAAGCAACCTGCTATCTATCAATAGGCGAGAACAGACTGCTTCGCCCCACGGACAGACATTAATGCAGTATACGTCCCTAAGCTTTATATCCCCGCCTCGTATTCTACGCTCGTTCACTCACCCATCTTTTATCAGCAAGCCTTTAAGAAGGAAGCAATCACAGTTCGCTTGTTTCACGGTACCCCCCGCCAACAGCCAATTATTAGTACCTTGTCTAGAAAGATAGTAGAGGTCGGACCAAAGTTCTTCCCTTTCAGATGCCCGAGGGCTGGCATAGATTGCAGCGAAGTTCCACGGTTGAAAGCTCAAGCCCTGTATTGACAAATTAACAAATTGAGAAGAGTGAGTCTCAATCGTTACAGATAAGTCAGATGGGTTCCAGAGGACCCAAATTCCACCACTGAATCCATGTGCATCAACTCGGAAACAGGATTGAAACCCGATTTGACGGCACACTTCCTCAGCACGATGTCCGCTAACCCGCGGCTCAAGAAGGACCACCATTGAAGGATGATGGTCCTTGATTAGATCGAATACCGCACGTCGAAATCTATCGTTACCTGCACCACAACAATTCGACACTAAAATTTTAAAAGACATAAAGAAATAATAATAAAAGAAAAGGTGTGGTCTAGAGCCGGCTGGGGATCTAAGATTCTCAACACTGTTTTTGATCGTTTCAACAGAACTCGTCATCGTCTATAATCATAATATTTTTGGGTTAATAGCATGGTTGGTCACTAAGATTACAAAAAACGTTCAAGTTTGGTCACTCGAAATATTTAAATCCATTGGTAGTACTTCAGTTTATTGAAACCGTTCACGTTTGGTCACTCTCCCTCCAACTCCGTTAACTTTTGCTTATGAGGTGGAAATGAGGTGACAATTTTAAAAAAATTAATTTTGTTATTTTCATTATTTTTAAATTGCCACGTGACACATTTAACGGTCAATTTTTAGAGTTGACCGCCACGTAAGCAAAAGTTAACGGAGTTGGACGGAGAGTGACCAAACATGAACGGTTTTAATAAACTGAAGTACTAACAATGGATTTAAATATTTCGAGTCACCAAACTTGAACGTTTTTTGTAATCTTAGTGACCAACCATGCAATTAACCCTAATCTTTTTATTTTAAAGTCTCTGGTCCTTGTTCTTAAATCTTACCACTCAATTTAGTCATAGTCTATAAATTCGTTTCGTTTTACTTGTCACTCATATTCTCTTCCCCTCTACAAGTAACAGAAGCTAATTGATGCAGGCTCAAGATACGGTGCATAACTCATGGTCATGCACCCATCAATAACTAAATCTGGACCCTTCATTCAAAAAATCCAGATCTAATCTAAGGGTAGAGAATTAAAAGTTCCTTTTTATTTATTTTTTTTCCTTGTTTTCTTAATCAGCTCATATCTTCTTCGTTTTAACTCGAATTTCACTTTTTTTTCACAGATGGAACGACTTCATTGTGCTCTACAAAATGATATCCATTTTCAATATTTTTTTAGGGAAAAAATTTTCGGGCCTCTCGGTACCAACAACATATCATATGGTATCTTCTTCGTTTTTAATTCGTTTTTTAAAATTTTTGCACAGAAGGAACGAGTTCATCATGATCTATTGGATCTACAAATTTCTGGGTGAACAAAATATAAGACCAAAAAATATCCCACAATACCATGGTGGTATGAACAAACAAAGACTGTAGGATGGTTGAATACATGTGTTTTCCCGGGGACAAAAACTAGATGAACAGAATTGGATTTTGCACCTTTGACTTCCAAACAAACGATTAACAAACACGGTCCACACCTCTTTGAACAAAGTTCAACCAAGGGTGTTCGATGTTCTTGATGATCTACGAGACAAACTAAATTACATTAACTCTACTCCTATGGATGTTCAGTGAGAGCTCCAGAACTACGTCTATGGCTAAATTTGCATAGGAAAAGATAAAAGGATAAAAGTTGACATTGTGTTTTCTGGTGTGATTTTGGCGAACCCTTTCTCCGTCATTTTCACCTCCTATTTATAGCCACCAGAAGTAACTGCCTCGAGAAATTGCTCTGCTGACGTGGAGTGGTGGTAACCTTCTCAACTGCTTCGATTATGCTTTGTCTTTGGTGGTTGTATCTTCTTCAGTCTTGGCCCCCTCACCTTGATAGTTATGCCAGTTGAGAAAAATGAAGAAGGTGTGAAAACCCCCTTGCTACATGTGGGTGGGTTGGGATCACATAGAGTAAAAATGGCAAAAATAGTTCACCACTACGAGAGCGGCATACTTAGCCAAATTTCACTCGTTCTCGTCATACTAGGGGGTGACCCCCCCCCCCCCCTCCCCCTCTGATCCTCATGGGGTTGATCCCCACCCCCTGATCATACCACGGGGGTTGGTATGTTGGTGGCCTCATGACCATCTCAATGGGTTGCTCTTTGCCACCCTCATAATCTTCCATACTTAACCAAATTTCCAACCCAACTCACCACACTAAATGGTATGGTGATCACCCACCATGGGGGCATGCGTTGATGGCCAAATTGGACCATCCAACCCCGCCATACCACCCTCCTCCTCGTCCTAGGGGGTTGTGTGGTGTCCACCCCCCTTGGCACCTCCTGGGGGTGGTAATATGGTACCCTCCCCCCTCGACGCATCATGGGGGTAGTATCACGTCCTGGGGGTGGCAGTATGATGCTCACCCCTTATCACGTCGCCCTTGCCATGTCTTGGGGGTGGTGGTATGATGTCCACCCCCTTGTTATGTCATGGGGGTGGCAGTATGATGCCTACCCCCTTATTACGTCTTGGGGGTGGTATGATGGTGGCCACCCCCTTGGCCTGTCATGGGAGTGGCTCCAATACTTAGCAAAAGTTTGGAATAGATGGTTAGAGTGGGGCATGATGCCATGACATTATGGGCCCAGAAAACCCAACCCACTTGGCCCATCTTAATTGATTTAATTTTTATAATTAAGTTGGCCTTATAAAGCCATTTAATACCTTGTATTTAACCAATGTGGTACAAGATTAAATTTTGATGTAAACAACATGATAGTAGAAGTATATTAACTGTCATGCATGCTCTTATTTCAATACCAGTCAATACCATACAATATAAACTAGTAAAAAATGGCTCAATTTTTTTGTTCCAAAAATATATTAAAGTGAATATAATTTTGAAGAGCACAATTAATCTGATCTAACTGTGCAAAAAAAATCGACTTAAAACAAGTGAGAAATCGTCTGTTAGTGATTAAGAGAGAAAAATTAAAGGTTTTTCGAGATAGGAAAGAGGCGCTGATATGGCAGATTCTAATTAAGTTATGCATAGTCATTGGCCACAAGGTTATTGAGAGGAGCCCCTCCTTTGATTGCGGGGCTTTTCTTCCATTCCGTCCCCAGAATCTCCAATTGCCTCTTCCCGATCTTTCACTTCCCAACACTCTCAAGAGTCAACACACTTTGGTTCTCGCCGTTCACCGGGCAATAAAATGGAGTCACTGTCGTCGAATCTCATCCGGCGGAAGGTTGACCAGCAGCCGCCGCCTTTGCCCATCCTCCCTCCAGAACTCATCGACGAAATCTTCACCTGGTTACCCGTCGATTCGCTGGTTCGATTCAGGGTCCTCCTCAAATCGTTCAAAATCCTAATTTCCAGACCCAATTTCGTCAAATCACACCTAAGAAGCATGAAGGCTCTGTCCAACACCAGACCCAACTGCACCGAACGTCTATTCAGGCGATCAATCAATTTTTTCACGGGATGGGATCGCTCTATCAATTGGCGTTTTGTTTCATACTCGCTGTACCCTGTCTCCAACGATCCTTCAAACGGAGATGCAAAGTTTGTTGCTGGCAGTCTTTACTAGTTTAGGGTTTCTTGTCTCACTTGACCTAGCAACCGAGACCTATGACAAGGTGATGTTGCCTGATTTTAAGGAGGCTGTTAAGTATGGGGAACTAGAGACATTGGTTGATCGCCTTTGCATTACTTGTTACAATGCTGATGGTCCTTGCGCGGTATGGGTGATGGACGAGCATGGATGGAATAATTGGTTCAAAGTAGACAGATGGATCGATCCATGGCTGGTTAACCTCTCCACTTTGCACTTCAGATGATGGTGAGGTTCTCCGCGAGACGACGTATGAAAGTTCCCATCATTTACAGTTCCAACGAGAAGACCTGCAGGTTGCCTACAACTAAAGTCTCGAAAAATCAAGACGGTCATTCGACTGTGTACATGGGGACCTTGGTTTCGCCATGGCCGTGAGTTAGCAAAGTGAGGTAGGTACACCTAGGGTTGGTGATCGGTCGGTTACCGGATTAGCAAACTGCTGTTTTTTTTTTTCTGTCCGAGTTCTGGTTCCTCTTCTTCTTCCTCTAACATGTAAAATCCTAGGTATGTTGAACAGCCTTGTTGAAATAAAACAACGTATAGTTTCTTAGCACAGCCGTAAGTTCGTATTCAACTAATAAGGTTTTACAAGCAAAATTGTAACTTGGCATGAGGTGTTAAGTTGATCCATACTGTACCTCTTTGAAAGAAAACAAAAAACCTGCAAATGAAGTGGCCACATCACAGTACTTAAACTTAAAGAGTGTTTTGGACTGTCTAGCAAACTCATCGTCCAGCCCTCGATAGCAAAAAATTGAGTACACGAAAAAACACAAACGAGACGCGACACAAAAATTGTTCGATTAGCCGCATCAATCTTCCTCCTGCTCCATCTCAAACTGTAGCCATTTATCACTTCACCATGCAGATCTTGATAATCGAGGCCGTCCCTATTCGATGTAGCGCCACCACCGCATCTCCAACCTTGCACAGACCCTTCTCCACAGCCTTCTTCAGAGCTGCAACCAGTATCTCCTCCGTCGACTCAGCATCGGTGGCCTTGGCGGACCCTTCCGCCAGTATCGGGATCAAACCCCTGTATATCAGACTGTGCCTCGCGGGAGACTCGTCACTGCACGCCCAGTCGAACGAATCCGTGGTCAACTCCGGCACCACCACAGACAATATCGGCACTGCCGGCCTGTACTTAGCCACCAGCGTTGCCGTCGTTCCGCCCCGAGTCAGCACCACGATCAGCTTTGCTCTAGCCTTGTTCGCAGTCCGAACAGCGGAAGACGCCAGGCTCTCGAGTGGGCTCATTGGAAGCGGGGTCGACCTCATGATAGCCTTGAACACGGCACCATAGTCCAGCGAAGACTCTGCCTCTATGCAGATTCTCCGCATGGTCTTCACAGCAAGCTCGGGGTAGGCGCCAGCGGCGCTCTCCCCGCTCAGCATCACACAATCGGTGCCGTCAAGGACTGCATTGGCGACATCGGTGGCTTCTGCACGAGTCGGCCTAGGGGACTTGATCATCGACTCGAGCATTTGGGTGGCAGTGACCACGGGTTTCCCCACGAGGTTGCACTTGTAGATCATCATCTTCTGAGCAAGGAAGATCTTCTCCACGGGGATCTCCATTCCGAGATCGCCACGAGCAACCATGAAAGCATCGGTCTCGCGCAGGATGTCATCGAAGTTGATAACACCCTCCTGATTCTCAACCTAACAAAAACAGAAACCGAAACTGATCACAACCCCAGCTAACCAAATGACATTGCAAATTGAGCATAACAGATCGAGAGAGACCGTACCTTGGACATCAATTTGATGTGCTTGGCGTGGGGGCCAAGGACCTTGCGAACATTGACAAGGTCGGACCCCTTTCGGACGAAAGAGAGAGCAATCATGTCAATGGCGTTCGGAACGCCCCATTGAAGAATATCCTCTCGGTCCTTATCAGTAAGCGTCGGGAGATCGACGACCACACCAGGGAGATTGACATTCTTCCTCTCCCCGAGCACGGCAGCATTCTGGCAGCGGCACCTCACAGTTCCAGCCTTGGGATCACACGACAGAACATTGAGACTAATGGTGCCATCGGAACAAAGGATGGTGTTCCCGGGCCTGACATCCAGCGGCAGCTTCTTGTAGCTCATCGAAATCGTCTCTGTATCTCCCTTGATGGTGTAGTCAGTAGAGATGGTGATCTCTTGGCCCTCCTGAAGCTGGATCGGGTTCCCGTCTTTCAAGAATCCGGTCCGAATCTCCGGTCCCTGGATGGTGAATGGAGAAGCAAAAGTTAGGGTTTCCACACTGCTGAAATTGAAATTGAATTAGTAAAAGGGCAAAGAAAGTGACCTTGGTATCGAGCATGACAGCGCACAGGATGCTGGTGTTGTGCATGGCGATGCGGAGGTTGTCCAAGGTCTCCTGGTGGTACTCGTGAGAGCCGTGGGAGAAATTGAAGCGGGCGACGTTCATCCCCGCCCTGAGAAGCTTCTCGATCATGGGGACGGATCTGGATGCAGGTCCCAGGGTGCAGACGATTTTGGTCCTGGGGACGCGGCTCTCGTCGCCGTCCTCGCCGCGGAGGAGGCCGTCGATGTCAATGTTGGCCATGGAAAGTGAATCGGCTGACTACTTCTGCATACAGATAAACAAATAAGGAAAGGGCGGGCGGGCGTTGGTTTAGGTTCTGGAAGCGGCGGAAATGAAATCGGGAAGGAGAAATGGCGGTGGTGAGATCTGTAGATTGAGATTGGGGATCGTGCGACGGTGGCGGGCGGGAGGGAGGAGGTTTAATAGCAAAACTACAAACAGCAAGAGACGGAAGGGATTACTTACTTCAGCTGGCAGTGAAAGAGTGGTGGAGTGGGAGTAACAGCAGCGGCGGTGGACGGTGGTTTCTGTGGTGGCGGCGGTGGCTTTTATTTCTCGAAATAGGTCTGGCAGGCAGAAGAGCAGCGTTTGGAGCGGACGAGAAGGTGTCCTTTACCAGTACTATATTTTCGGGGCCCGGTGTTCTTTTTGCCTTTTGGGATTTGTCCGGACGAGATATTTTGGTGTTTCAAAAAGGGTATATTCTGAAATCAATTAAATAAGGTTTTGTCTTTGGTCGACAGCGCAGCAGATATTTGACTATTTGTGAACCAAGTCTTGTGCTACTAACGTAACTACCCAACGCATTGCCTCGTCCCCAGTTTTGCCTCATGCTTGTGCACGTGAATTTGAAGCTAAACCTGTGGGTGTGGGTGCTTCTTTTATGATCATAGATTGGGACTTCCCATGGGCCGATAGCCCATTCTGAATTTCAACGTGAAAAAGTGGCCGAACGTCATACGGGAAACACATCATTTTTGTTCGGTGGTATTGAATCAAAATATGTGGCAATTTCATGTGAAACTTCAGCTTAGAATTGAGTCTGGTTGTCTTATTTTCATAGAACATTCTGTTGGATGTTGATGTCTAACCTGAAGAATATGCAAACGGTGACGTTGTGTGTTCAAACGCAACATCTCACCTTAACGATGTGTCCTTCAAAGTCTCAGCTACAACCCAGCCACTACGCAATCTCCTCGTGCTGAGATCTCCATCTTCGATTCTCTCTCAAGCAATGGAGACATCTTCCTCGAGCTTGCCTTCCTCGAGTCTACTTTCCTCGTTTCGCTCCAAGATCGTCACCGCCTCTACAAGAGCTAATGATGATCACTGCCATGATCATCACCCTTAGCAAACGGTCATTTTCCTTGCATCCTATAAATCACGCGTATTTGACTTAACATCAGAATTCGGCAGTCTGTAGAAAGAGTCATTTCTCTCTTCCTCACTCGCAGCAAACAAACCAACCAAAAAGTCCTTTCCCTTTTGAAACAAAATGAGTGACTATCTCCCTCGACCGTACCGATTTGATGGTCTTGTTCATACCTATCCTGGCTACATGTTTCATGAGCCTGTGGTAATCAACCACCATCGCCATCTCCATCATTTTGAGAATAGGAGACTCCACCACATCACTCAACTCGATCCCTATGAGTTCATCCTCTACAAGTTTGACATCATCTCTCTCATTGAGGGGTTGGGTTGGGATTTTTTGCTGCGACAACCTCTCCATCCTGCCTGTCCTGGTGCTATCAAATATTTTTACTCAAACCTTCGTTGTCAAGGTGTCAGCACGAGGTGTTTCACCACTGTTGTCTATGGTCATCTTCTAACCATCCCAGTTGAAGCCCTCAGTGGGATTCTTGGATTCCCTTCTCAAGAGCTTGACATTGCACATCCCTCTGAATTATGGAAGCAAGAGTTCAAACTCTCCACTGAGTATGCGAACTTCTCAACCGAACCAACTGGTAGTTCAGATGTTCCTATCCCTATCAGCTGGCTGCCTCCTAGACTGAGGGTGTTTCATCATTTCCTTACTCACGTATTTTTTCCTCGATCTTTCAATCTTGATCGAGTTCTTCCAATGGATCTCTGGATTATCTCCAGTGCCACTGCAGGACGCAAGCTGAACTTCTCCTTTCTCCTATTTTCACACCTCCTTTCCAGTAGGAGATGAGCACTATCAAGGATTGCTGCCATTTGGATCCATTATCACTCGAATTCTTATAAATCTTGGACTGGATCTATCTGACTTTCGTAGTGTATCCACCACAATGTACGTGAGTGCATTGAATGTGCTCATGGTTCTTGATCTTCCTACTCACATTCCTCCTCCCCTCTCCCTTCTGCATCCATTCTTGGTCTAATTTGTAATTATAATGATATTTTGTTTAATGTATTTTTTTATTTTATTGTGATAATGAGGTGGCACTTTTAAAATATTGATTTTTTTTTAAATTTTTGAATGGCCACGTCACTTATTTAACGGTCAACTCTCAATGTTGACTGCCACGTCAGTCAAAGTTAACAGAGACTAACCAAGAGTGACCAAACTTGAACTGATGAACTAATTTAAGTGACTACGAATGGAATAAAGTAACTATAGTGGCAAATATGAAATTTTTAAGCAATTCCAGTGACCAAACTTGCAATTAAGCCGTTAGACATGGTTAGGACACCTTGCTTGAGGATTTTCTTAATGATTTAATAATTTAGAATGCAAAGTTTAATAATTCAGAATGCAAAGTTTAAGACAACACCCAAATATCGCCCGAGTGTAATTAGTCTGAGTTAAACCGTCTATATATTAAAGGAGAAATTATCATCATTTACAAACTTAATTTTCTCTCAATTTTTTTTGAATTCAATAATTTTGTGAGCTATTTTCTAATTTTTAATTTACTTAAGATAAAAATTATTTGACCTGATATAGAAGTGCAGTAAAACTGGATATCCAATATCCATATAGCCTCAAAATTCACACCAAAGTACAACACCTACCAAAATCTGGCGCAACCGGAACACCAGCCTGCGTTATGGGCCGCTTATGTTCTCATTAGCTCTTGAATGGAAAACCTGAACGATCTGACATTTGGTAACATATTAACTTCATCCAAATTCTCCCTAAGCTGATTTTGATTCTTCATCAGGAGATCCATCTGAATCAGAACCACCGTCCACCATTCTTTCTAGTGAGTCCATTTCCCCAGCTTCTGAGAAGGTGTGCACCCGTAGCTGATCAGCATCTTCACTGCAGAATACGAAACAAAAGAAACCCTCAAATGAGAAGTGAAAAATAAAGTGTTCGGATCTGAGTGACACTGGGAATAGGAGGAACATGTAAATTGACCCTACTGCACACTTCCTATCTTATCCTACAAAGATCGTAACACGAATTCAAATGAATTCGAGGATAGAAGACACATACTCTGTAACCCCGAATATCTCCTTCACCACAAGCGAGCTGTCCCTCGAACATAATTCTGACAACTGGCATACCAAAGAAGCAAAAAAACCATCAATTTCAGTAAGAGAAATGCTAATTCCTAGAAAGAAAGGAACCATGCACAAACAACCACTCATTCAAACTAAAATGACATCCACCAGGAATCGGGATGGGAATAATTTGGCTAGTTTGATCTACAGCTTTCATTCTTATTTTTATTTCCAGTTTTCGGTCAATGCCGAGAATGCGGTTGCTTCTAAGAGAGGCAATATGAAGACAATGCATCTTGAGATCAATATTACTGAGCAGTCTAGAAACAATCCATCAAAGGTAAAGGGATAAGAAAATAACGTCCAGTTATCAACAAATGACTTAAGAAATGTGAAGTCTTCCGCTGAAATTATAACAGGTAGAAGGTCACCAATCTGATCAAACCCTGACCTCGGATAAATAAAAGACCTTCCCGAATAGAACCTGAACAGCAAGCTTTCTCTTAAATCCCTTTTCAGTATATCCTGAAACATCCATGACAACGGGGCCTGAAAATTGCCAAGACAAAGTCAAAATTGGTTAAAACCGCAATCAATACCAGGGCATCTCTCCTCTTTACTGAAATCTGGTAGTTAATTGAGAATGAAAAGTAACTGCATGCTTCTTCTCTGATGACACCTAGGACCACTACACTATATAAAATGTCAAATAAAAGTAGAGATTTACTATTGATTTTTGTGTAACTAACTGTCAGAGCAGACTAGATCATTTGTATATGAAACTACGATCGACATTGGCCTAGAAAAGAGCGTCAGTTGATTCTACATCAACAAAACATTCGTAATCACACACCTAGCACCAACAGCACATGCTAAGCGTAAGATTTGAATAGTAGTTCAACGGTAGAGAACTATAAACCAATTAATTTGTGCAGATACTCTGGCTTTACTCGATCTCAAAGCATTGTGATAATCATTGGCACAAGACGAAATTTACGTAGAGAACTATTAGTCAATTTACTAGAGACCATAGTGCGCTCCTGTACTCGATTTCCTAGCATTGTGTTAATTATAGGCAAATGTGGCGAGCATAATTGTCTCAACTTCTCAAATAAAAGTTCTCAGCAGCTCAGCTTGTCGTTGTGTTGCAGCAACTAGATTGCAGCAACTATTGAAGCAAGTAAGCTGATGTGACTAAATCAAGAGAAAAAGGGAAATTTAAGTCAAGAAAAAATCCACCTACCATCTCAAAATGCAGGATATGTAAGCAACAAGCTTCACACTCTTTTTAACAACAGTAAGCTAGCCATTTTCTTCCTGGTCTTTACTGGGTGTTGAGCACCAACGGTAAAGAAGACTAGGTATGAAAGGTTACAGAGCTGAAGGTTGCTAGATGCTACTGTACTGTACCATGTTCGTATGCAAAATTAAAAGGTACCAAGGAATTTTGCGGGGTAATTGATGCAAAGATGTATATTATAAACTAAACTATTGCTTAACTAGTTAGGCAACAGAAGTATCATTGGTGTTTAAAAAAAACATTATACCTTTATCACGCACAATCAGCCGAGAGATCTCATTAAAAATTGCAGCCATTTGGGGGTCACTCAACTGTGAAGCCACCCTGAGCCGGATCAAGCTGGACACCAGTTCTGGATTGAATGGTTTCTCGTTCAGTGCATAGCGGATATACTTGCGCAAAATGTCCTCCATAGTGAAACCTGTCTGGACACGAATCAGGAGTTAATGAAATTGGAGGGAAATGTTGCAGCACTGAGATATTACTAGGATTGCCCCTTTCATTTCCTCACCTTCTTCGTTAGCACTTCCAAATCTGAAGGTTGCAATGCATCTCCCTCGCGCAGAAGCAACTCGTCAATGGATCTACACAGTGTAGCGTTTTTATTCACCTGAAGTAGAGATGTAATCCGAACAAATTAAACACAAGTTTTCAGGTCAAATATCATCTTGTAAGGTGTATGTCTGTATGAGACGATTCAAGTTCAAGGATTTGGACTCAGGGATCATGGGCATGGCAAGCACAATTCCAGCAGAGATAATCTGAATTCATCAAGACTAAAGGTAACATTACACACGAAGGCATACCAAGCAACAAATTTCGGAGGCAAATTAACTGCTGAGTAGGTAAAAGGACGCACAAAAGAACTTAGAGAGGAAGAAACAAACCAGTCGCCGGCGCTTGGTTTTTGGAGAAGACAGCTTTCTGACGGTCTTCACGAAGGCAATAACGAAGGTAACGCCGGCGTAAGCCAACGGGAGCGCAAGAATCCATGGAAGCGAGCTCTGGCCGACTCTCGGCCCAGGAATTGCCTGAGTGACGGAGCCTGTGAACTCGACTAGGTCCAACGCCTTCTCCTGAACCCAAGGCAAGTCCTCCTCCACCTCTACCACTTCCTCTTCCTCCTCCGCTTTCTTGTTGTCATTCTGAAGACTGCTCTTCGAACCAGCTGCCGCCATTGCCAGGGCAATCCTCCCCCTGGGACGAGGCAGAAATGGAGAAGCAGGAAACGAGACGGCACGAGGAAGGAAGCATGGGTACGGTTTCACAATCTGAAGAAGCCGAGATGAACCGGCCGTGGAGGAAGAAGAAGAAGAAGCAACTGTGGGGATGGAAGCCATAGATGTGGGGTGGGCTCAGGAGAATTGGAATTGCGGGAAGAGGAGGAAGGAAGATTGAAACAGTAAGCCTCCGTCGAGAGTTCTTAGCTTCTCAATTCAATTGATTACTAGAATGACCCGCTCGCTACGCTTCGCAAGAGTTGAGAACTGAATAGCAAATATGAAGTCCCAATTCCGAAAGACTGCTAGTATCACTACTGTTAACAGTTGTTTTTTTCATGATAACATTACATAGTTGTATGAAATAAGGAAATATAACCTCTAAATATAAAACCATAGAGAAACATGGTCTAATAAATATTGTAGAAAGAACGGATAAAGGAGCAAAGAACTGAAGCACACTCGAAACACCTATGGAGACGCATTGGTAGTTCTGGTTCATTTTACATATTTCGACTTCCTTCATCTCTTGTTTGTACTGCTCTACTCCTTTGCACACCACCTCGAAGAAATCAAGAGCCTCTTGAAGCGATTGTATCAAACAAAAGTAAAGGTTGAAAATCATAAACTCCAAATCATTAAAAACAGTTGGATTACTAAGTTTATAAAGTTATGGTAACCGCAACCTACCTAACCCGACCCAATGCCTTAGACTGACATTTCTTTATAAAGAGGCAAAGTGAGATAAAACTGTAATCCTCGATTCGCTAATGTAGGAAAATTATAGTTAGTTTCAAAATAGTCCAAGAGCATCCAATTAGAACATAACACTGTCCTACTGGAGACTATTGGACTACCAGACTAAGCAAGTTGGAGAACACCTAAAGTCAGTCATCGATCCTTATACTCTCGATATTTAAGCATTTTTAGTTCAATACAAACACTTTGACTGGATTAGGTATCTACAGATTACAGCCCTACAGGCTACATCGACCTTTCTTTCTGATCTCTCAATCATAATCATTAGTCACTCAACACACACAACACTACTAATTTCACTTGTACAATATAGTTTCGAGATAAGAATAAGGATGGATAATATAATTAACTGCAAAATGCAAAAATACATATGATATGTATTAATTGAATTTTGTGGCCGAGGAAACAAAAATATCTCCTCAAGTGTCCAAGTGAATTACCATGCTCTTATTTATCGAAATCTGAGCTCCTTTGCAATGCTGGATCATTGTATTGTTGCTACTTCTGCTAGTTGTATGGTTCCTGCTGCAGCTGGCTTACTTGTTATGTTGTTGTGCTGCAGTTACTACTCCTGCACTTGTTGTTATGGTGAAAGCAGTAACTTAGCATACCTTAGAACCAACTATGCAGATTGTAGTTTGTGAAAGCAGCGAATGAGCAAGTAAAGTGAGATCCCTACCCTACAGCAGATGAACCACAGATGACATTCAACTCTGTAAACTATAGTTTGTTTTAGCAGTGGAACTGCAAATGGTTTAAAGAAACAATAAGATTTACGACATTGCCACTGAGCAAAAAACAATATACCAAATATGGTAATGAAACATGATAAATAAAGAAAACACCATTTCTTATATATATGATAGATAAATCTGCAAGCCATACACTACAGAGGACCATAACAAAGGCTTAGAACTAATATCTGATACATATAGGAAGATAGAGATAATTTGCATGCTTCCATTTCCATTTGTTGAATCTTATTATATGAAAGAAAAGACGATTTACATCCTTCCATTTTCACAATGGGAGACTATAACAGAAAATAAACACAGAGCTAACCAAGTCACGTTTAGACCATCAATCAAACCTGACTACTAATTCAACTTCAAGATTTTCATTACTTTTAAGCAGGCATTCACTGGCAAAGAGGAATTTGTATTTGAATCATGGTTACTTTCACTATCAATGGTAGCTTTAAACATACGATCTCGCGCTTACCGTAGTTTTAATAAGGGCTTGCAGCAACCTGATTCCAAATCCTTGATGGCAACCACATTTGATGAGCACCTGATAGTGCCACCCAGAAGCTCTTCTGTCGTGCCCTCAAGGTACATTTGTTCCGGCCTCTCCGATTCGTGGAAGCAAGCTCCACTCTGGCATTTCATCAAACACCATCCATATATATCAGTTTAAACTTTAAAAGAAAAAGGCTTAAAAGCTTTTGCATGAGGCAATTCTAAAAAGTGTAAGTACATACTGTTGAAAGACAATAACCAAGTATCTAAAGAATCTGGAGGGCAATAAAATCAGAACTGTGATATCAGTAATGGAATCATCAAATTTTGCAAATAAAAAAAACCAAAGTCAATGAAAAATGGTCAGGACATTGATCTCAAGAACTCAGAAACACATGATTTCTTAGCTACAAACCACAAAAGCCAGAAAGAGGAAAAACAATTTGTAGAAGAGATGGTAAAATAGCAAGAACACCCAAAAACTGTACGCTTTCCTGATCTTTTCCTTTTAATCATATCTACTTATGCATGTTTCTCTATTGCTCTGGACTGATATAGAAGAAGAGAAGACACGTAAGTAACTCAGACATTTAAACTGGACATGAATTGATAACCAAAATGGGATGCTCTGAAATCCGCCACTATGCAGAATGGTAGTAAACAACCAGCAAAACTCTGGACTTTCATGACTCGGAACATTGGCCGCAGTTGACTCATTCTTGAAAATGTAATCGTGTCTTTGCACGCTAGATCATGAATCAGATGATTCAGAAGAGGTAAACAACACAATAAGACAAAAAAAAATCCTGACTATGAGAAATTCCTTTCAGAAGGTCGGTTGATTTTAAATCACCAAGTCTGATTGATAGATATGGATAAACTTACATTCGGAAAGCATGCAAGGATAAGACTATAACATATTAAAAATACATATTGAATCAAGTCGGATTACATGGTCTAACTTTCTTATATCTCATCCTGCAGCATTTTGATTGTCCGATTCTGGACTGTAACATGTACATACCCGCTAAACACAACCTACCCTCAATCACAACCCCCAGAAAGCACCACTACATTTTAAGAACCCTGGCTAAGCCTCACACTAAGCAGTTACAAAAAGGATGAGTACACTGCTCATAATGAATTCATTACGGCAGCCACTGGACATCATGGTAGATCCAACCATTATCGTTTGCAAAAATTTACATTATAGCGAAGCATATTCTCAATACTAAGAATGATGATGAACCAACAGATAACTCTTATGTTGATATGTGCTACTAAATGTGGTGATCTACTGGGTCTGACTCTTAAAATGCAAGCATACTTGCATAAGCAATGGCAATAGGCTGAAGGAAGGAATACATTGCATGTAGGAAAATAACCAGGAAGAAAAAGAAGGAAGCATAAACTAAATGGAATTCCACAGTTTACTTTAAACAGAAGGCGTGCATGGAACTCTAACTGGTATGTATTTTGTCTTGGAAACTGACAAAGCGTAGCAAACGAAAATGTAAAACGAAAACCAAAAGATAACCTTCCCAAATGAATCAACAGATATGATTGTTCAACACAGATTTAACTCTGTAGAAGCCAGCCACCAAAGACTGCAAAAAAAGCACACAAAAACACAGGACAACATAAGTTATCTATAAACTGCAACAGTCTGAAGAGTGCTCAACTCTATGAATTTTGAGCTTCTCCGTTGAACTCATAACTACTGCGCCTTGTTCTTGTTCGCCATCCAAGGGTCTGTCATGTGTTCATCTGTGGCTTGTTCTTCTGTGGCGTCCTGGTTCTCCTCCTCGACCATCTAACCAATCACTGGTGGATAAGCCCATAATCAAACAACTGAGAAAAGCTATAAAAAAAAGTTGGCACTTGGCACAATCTAGTAAAGGAATTGTCTGAAAATGCATCTTAGTTCCAATAGGGTTAGAAAATCATCAGCAGGCCTACATATATCGAAACCTTACCTTTAAATGGACCTTAGCATTTTAAAGAGCAGATGCAGTTGCAGATGCCGCAACACCAAGAACATGGATCGAACTTGTATAAACAATCACTTCATCATTGTTGACATCAAGAGCCTGGCTGTTCACATTCGATCCTGGCCCGGGCTTCACATATTGTTCTGATTCGATTGAGTTAGCAACATCGAGAATATAACTGAAATCAGACTGCATGGTACCAACATTTGTTGGCAAGTTAGAAGATTCTTGGCCAGTAAGGAGAGTCCCAGGAGGCACAGTGCTTGGAGGTGATTATAGGATGCTACTTGCTCGAGTGGGTTAACCACAACAGGAGGTGTTTTAGCATATGTAGTTGAAACAGGATCATAATAAAGCGATGTGTGTTGGATTGCAACCTGACTTCCATCAACATGCACATAGAAACTACCACTTGACAAAGTAGATGCACACCCATAATATTGGACATTCGAATCCATATAAGGATAGCCGTAGTGGAGGCTCGTTAGGAGGCAGTGGAGGAACTTGTTCGTCAACGATGGATAATCCACCTTCTGTGATTGATGATCTCATTGAGAAAACTACACTTCTGGTTCTTCAGCCAAACAACCTTCGGAGATGACATGGAGAGAAAGAGACAAAAAAGGTGCAGATTAAAATCAGAATCAACCTGGGCAAAAATGAATTGAATCACCAAACACAGAAAAATAAAAGAGTTACCTATATACATTTCCTACTCTGCAGCAAACTACACTGCTAACGTCGCCGGAAAGGGCCAGAACTACCGACTTCTTCTACCTCTTCCCTTTCCTGAAATCAAATAAAAACAAAACATACCAGAACAATATCAAAGAAAGGCAACACGCAGACTATTAACGGAACCAAAACACAAAAAGAAGCAGCTTACCCAGAGAGTAGTAGCCAGCCCTCGTCGCCTCTATTGCCTTCGAAAATCTGCACCAACGACAAACCCTCCGTCATCCTGCCCCTTGTCCGAAGAAGAAAACCAAAAGGAATAAGTTTGATCAAATTAGCAGGAACCAATAAATAAAAAATCCTAACATACCAAAAGCGAGAAGAAAAAAAGGAACTTACCTTGAACGCCGTGGATAGCTATTCCACCATTGACGGATGATCATGTTTCCTCTGCCAT